GTTCATGGGGTTCAGGAGTTTCGGGTTCAGGGTTGTAGGGTTCGGGGTTGAGGGGTTGGAGTTCAGGGTTTTGGGGTTTAGGGGGTTTAGGTTCAGGGGTTCAGGGCTTATGGGCACTTTAGATTCAAAAAGTGGGGAGGCCAGACTAATGGCTTCTGAGTTTTGAACTTGGGTGCAGGCCATATGTGCACCCTAAACCCTAAACCCTAAACCCTAAACCCTAAACCCTAAACCCTAAACCCTAAACCCTAAACCCTAAACCCTAAACCCTAAACCCTAAACCCTAAACCCTAAACCCTAAACCCTAAACCCTAAACCCTAAACCCTAAACCCTACTTGCAACTGCGCGCAAGCCTGCAAGTACCGCGGCTGGCTTCCGTCGGGTGTGGCGGTATTTGTACATCAGGAGTTTTTGTTGTTTTTTGCTCCAGCCTCTACAGCCCTAAGCCCTAAACCCTAAACCCTAAACCCTAAACCTTAGGCCCTAAACCCTTAAAGCCTAAAACCCTACACCCAACCCTGAAACATCCCAAGCCCTGGGTAGCCACACCTCAGGGAGTGCAGTGTGGCTACGCCCGCTGTGACTGACGGTCTGCTTAAGGTTTAGTGTATAGGGTTTAGGGTTTAGGCTTTTGGTTTTATAGGGTTTCGGGTTTAGGGGTCAGTGTGCTGCTGCTGTCCAAACCATCGACGCGGATACACATTAAGCCCTAAACCCTAAGTCCCAGACCCTTTAAAACACGAGTTTAGCCGCTATGAAGCCGAAGGGAGCCCACACAAACCCTAAAGGCCCTAAACCCTAAACCCTAAACCCTAAACCCTAAACCCTAAGCCCTAAGCCCTAAGCCCTAAGCCCTAAGCCCTAAGCCCTAGGCCCTAAACCCTAAGCCCCAAACCCCAAACCCCAAACCCCAAACCCCAAACCCTAAACCCTAAACCCTAAACCCTAAACCTAAATCCTAAACCCTCATTCTGACGACAGGCTTTGCCCGCAGCGTGTCGGCAGGAGCCAGCTTTGAGCCCCATGCAGCCGCCCCGGACGGTTCGATGATTTGGGAAATCAGCGTTGGTTGAGGGTTTGAAGTTAAACGCAGAACCCTATGAGTTTCGGTATTAGCATGTTTTGTTTTGAATATGAGTATTCAGAATACGAGAATTACCATTGTCATTCTTCTCAGTACCTTACCATTATCAATGCCGTCGTCACTACCATTTCCGTTGTCATGAGCATTTTTTGTCGTCCCGTCGGCGTGTTGCGCTGTGCTTCTTTTCTCTGCAGTTGCGACCGCCGGCTACCCAACTAGATTCTGCACCTGTGCGCCCCAGCTTCCCCCCAACCCTTAAACGACCACACGGCCTGCGGCCCGCGCGCCCCTCGTGCAAAGAGCATAAGCCCCAAGCTCAATATCTAAGCCTACATCCGACAACCCTAAATCTAGATCTAGAAAAAGAATACAGCTGGCAGGCAGCTGGCAGGCAGCTGGCAGGCACCCTAAACCCTAAACCCTAAACCCGAAACCCGAAACCCGAAACCCTAAACCCTAAACCCTAAACCCTAAACCCTAAACCCTAAACCCTACATGCCTCCACGCCCTGGAGCCCTGAGCTGGCAAGGCCACTGCGCTGAACGTGATTCCTTCCAGGCAGAACCTTTTCCTGCCGGAGCACCGCCGGGGACCTGGAGAGCTTAAAATACAGCAAAATAAAAACGTGTAAATATCAACATATCAACATGCTGTAAATTATATATAGTTAGTATCATGCAATAATACGAAGACAAGATGTTAAGATGTGAAAACCACACTATACTCGGAAAACAACATGATACTATGACATGTATACTAATATCATCGTACATGAATATGACACTGCAATAGCGGCATAACATGACATCGTAGCAGAATCAACGCAGCTGTGCAACCCAACAGCCAGCAAGACAGGAATGATCAAGTTCTGTCCGTTCTGTTCCGTGTTCCCTTCCGAGGGCTCCGCGGCGGCAAATGCCCCCCCCCCCCCCTCCCACCTCTCGACTCTAGAGACAGAAACCCAACCCTTCGGCTGTTGAGAATAGTAGTATAGCAATGTATAGTAATGTACCAACATAGTACTACAACGATAGAAATGTAGTAACTAGTACGAGAACAATACAATAACATAAAATATAGTAATCGAATGGCATATTAATACATTAAATATAACGCTATAGTAATATAATCGCAGCATCGCCTAACAACATGATGATATATGAAAGAATGACATAAGAATATATAAAACAACATAATCATAGCAAGATATACTAATGTGATTCAATAGCAACATAACAACATAAGACGGTCGGCGGCTTCAAGGTTCGAAGATTTTGAGGTTTAGGGCCTTGGGGCTGAGGGTTTGTTTGCGTGCGGAAGGGATAGATAATCAAGTAAGGGTTTAGGGCTTAGGGCTTAAGGCTTTGGGCTTCGGGCTTAGGGTTTAAGATCTAGGGTTTAGGGTTTACGAAATTTGCACTAGCAGCAAAGAGAACCGCACGAGGTCCTACCTTCTGCCCCTAAGCCCTAAGCCCCGAACCCAGTAGATGGCACCAGGCCGGCGGGGGCCGCGCGCATGGTGGCTTCCCTGGGAGGTCGGTTTAGGGTTTAGGGTTTAGGGTTTAGGGTTTAGGGTTTAGGGTTTAGGGTTTAGGGCGTCTTACATGGGTATTTCGTTGGGTTTAGGTTAGGGTTTTGCGGTTCAAGGGTTTTACATGAGTGCATTTCGTTGGATTTTTAGATAGGGTTTTGGGGTTCTGGGGTTTTGGGGCTTTAGGGTCTTAAGGTTTTGCGGCTTGGGATTTAGAATTTTCGGGTTTCAGGAGCTTTTCGGGTTCAGGGGCTTTAGGGTTTAGGGTTTCGGGCTGGCGCATGCGTGGTTTTCAGACTCCAGGATTCACGTTGAGGGAGTCGGGGCTTTGTGGGTGAGGCTCCTGCAGTGGGACAGCGGGTTTGGGGCCTTGGCCTTAACTTAAGCTGGGTTTAAGGTTCATGGCTTTGGGTATAATCAACCCCTAGCCCTTCAGCCCTACACCCTGTATGAAATAGATTAGCTAGGATGCCCAGTAGTACCCTTATTCCCTTTTTGGGGGTTTAGGTTCCCTTATAAACCCCTTTAAGCAAAAAGGGCACCCTTTTTAAGTATTCCCTTTTTGGGGGGTTTAGGTTTCCTTGTAAACCCCTTTAAGCAAAAAAGGGCACTCTTTTTAAGCCTAGGTGACTGGGCAGCCTAGTAGAACTGTACTTATAACTGCACTCATGACCATCTTAGGGCACCTTAGGGTCTTGTAAGTGGGTTATAAGTACAGTTCTAGTTGGTTTAAAAAGCCTGGGTTACTGGGCAGCCCCCTAAACCCTAAACCCTCAACCCTAAACCCTAAACCCTAAACCCTAAACCCTAAACCCTAAACCCTAAACCCTAAACCCTAAACCCTAAACCCTAAACCCTAAACCCTAAACCCTAAACCCTAAACCCTAAACCCTAAACCAGAAACCCTAAACCCTAAACCCTAAACCCTAAACCCTAAACCCTAAACCCTAAACCCTAAACCCTAAACCCTAAACCCTAAACCCTAAACCCTAAACCCTAAACCCTAAACCCTAAACCCTAAACCCTAAACCCTAAACCCCACCCCTTCGTAGGGCGTCTATTCGGTGGGGTCCCACAGCTCTGCCGAGCTCCTCGTGAGCCCCAGGCGTTCCCCTGGGATGCTTTGGGATTTTGGGGGGTTTAGGGTTTAGGGTTTAGGGTTTAGGGTTTAGGAGGTTTGCGGTTCAGGGTTTTGGAGGTTTGCGGTTAGGGTTTAGGAGGTTTGGGGTCTAGGGTTTTGAGGTCTGGGGTTTAGGGTTTAGGGTTAGGAAGTTTAGGGTTTACGCGTTTAGGGTGTAAGGGGGCTTAGGGTTTAGCAGTTAGGAGGTTTGAAGTTTAGGGTTGGGGTGGGGGGTTAGGGGATGTAGGGTTTAGGGTTCAAGGTTTAGGGTTCAGGGGGTTTATTTAGGGCTCAGGGTTCAGCGTTTTGGAGGTTTGAGGTTTGGGGCTTAGGGTTTTTGAGGTTTGAGGGCTTAGGGTTGATGGTCAAGGGGTTTAGGGTTTAGGGTTGTTTAGTGCTCCGGGGTCAGGGTTTAGGGGGTTTGGGGCTCAGGGTTTCGGGGGGTTTGGGTTTGGGGTTTGGGGTTTAAGGCTATGGGGGTTTGGGGCTCGGGGTGTTTTAGGGGGTGTTAGGGGGGATTAGGGGGTTTTAGGGGCTTTTCAGGGGAGAGTTAGTTCGGGTTTAGGGGGGTTTTGGGGGTTTCGCGTGCGGTTCGGGTGTGGTTGTTGCATTTTGGGGTGCGTGTGTGGCCGTTTGGGGTTCATGGCGTCGGGCTTCTCGTTCAGATGGTCAAGGAGCCCTAAACCCTAAGCCCGACCCCAACCCCTAAGTAATCTCCGGCCGCTAAGGTCGTACCCTTGGGTTTGGGGAGCCAGCTACCGAACCCCCTTTGGGCAACATTGGGGCCCAGTCAGCAGGGTTTAAAGCTTAGGGTTTCGGCCTCTTCATCCCAAAGCCCCCCTCCCCTGAACCCTCAACCCTAAACTCTGAGCCCCTTTTTAACCCGACACCCTAAAACTGCCTAAACCACCCTAAGCCTTAAACCCTAAACCCTAAACCCTAAACCCCAAACCCCAAACCCCCAGCCTCTTTGTTCGTTGTCCCCTCCTGCAGGCATGACCGCTGGGCGCGGGCGATCCAGCAAGCCACCGAGGACCCGTACTGCTGCGCGCTCAGTAGGCTTGGGGCTTGGGGGTTTTGGGTTCTAAGTTGCCAGTGCCCTAAACCCTCAACCCTACACCCTACACCCTAAACCCTAAACCCTAAACCCCAAACCCAAAGTAGGTCCTAGAGGGAGACCAGACTCCTCCACGTGACATCACAGGGAGGATGCCAACTTGCACACGACTCGCAGGCCTTCTCTCAAGCTTCCCGGTCCACTGTTATGTCCGCCATGCTCCTCCAGGGCCATTTCCGCGGCGATGCCTATGGCCCCTATGTGGTGCCTTAGGGATGGTTGGGAATGAGTTTTTTTTGGTACTATAATGATTCCTAAGAAACAGCTGGAATTATGGGGTACTATCATAAAGCAGCTGTAGTTATAATTTTTGCTAGGGTTCCAAGTTCATTGAAGGCGCAGCTCTACAAGCCCGTGCAAGGCTCCACAGCGATCCCGGGCCCCTATGCGCAGCAGATGATGGCCCAAGCCCCCTACGTGTCCCCAGGCCACTATGCCGCGAGGGCCGTGGAGCCGGGGGGCAGGAGGTCCGAAGACAAGGAGGCGTGCAACGATCCGGAAGCAGCCTGTGACGAGGACAAGTTCGGACAGGAGAGCAAAGGCCAGGGTTGACTCGGAACATAATTTAACGTTCCACACCCCCCCCCCCCCCCCTCCCCTTACTTGTTTTGCCTTTCGCGTTTGCGTTGTGCTTGTCTTGTCCCGCCGTTTATTGCACCTAGCTTCCTGCTTTTCGCTTCTCGCCTTTTTTTGTTGTTGCTTTTTGCGTTCCGCGTCTTGCCACACCCTCTTGTTGATTGTTGTTGCTTTTGCTCTTGCGATTCACAGCACAAAAAGAAAGCCAACAAAAACAGAGATGCCAAACTAAGTTCACCTAGTCCCTATACAACCCGGTGTAACCCGTAAGCAGCTGGTTCTTATCGGGCCTCAGCCTAAACCCTAAACCCTAAACCCGAAACCCTAAACCCCCAACAAGGCCCTGAGCAGTCGGACTGTTGGAAGCCTGTCTTGCCCCTGACGCTCAGCGTCTCAACGATTCTGGGCGGCGTGGCGGTGATGATGGTGCAGGTTCCTAGGTGGCAGCTGGGACATGTCTGCGATTCGGGTTTGGGGTTTAGGGTTTAGGGTTTAGGGTTTAGGGTTTAGGGTTTAGGTGGCACCTTGGGGGCATTTGTTGTAGTTGGCCGTTTTTTTGCATTTAAGCGGATCTTGTCAGGGTTTTTCGTCAGTGATGCTCTAAGCCCTAAGTTCCTAGACTCCCATAACATGTCTCCGCAGCTTTTTAAGTGCCCCCAGATTCCCTAAACCCTAAACCCCAAACCCTAAGCCCTAAGCCCTAAACCCTAAATTCTAACCCCTAACCCTAAACCCGAAACCCGAAACCCGAAACCCTAAACCCTAAACCCTAAACCCTAAACCCTAAAAAACCCTAAACCCTAAACCCTAAACCCTAAACCTTAGGTTCCCATGTTAGCCGAGCTGACCGGGTGGCCCTGGATGACCTTCAGCTTGATCGCCCTGGCCCTCTATGGCGTGACCTTGCTGTGCATGCTCTGGGTGGCGAGGGCTGATCCAGGCCAGGTGTCCATGAGCCTAGACGGCTTTTTGGAAGCAGTTGTGGATCTTTACTAGTTGGATTCAAGAACTGAAGGGTTTTTAGGGTTTAGGGTTTAGGGTTTAGGGTTTAGGGTTTAGGGTTAAGGGTTCAAAGTTTAGGGTTTAGGAGGACCCGGAGCCCCTATGAGGGTTCCATGAGCAGCTGAGAAGGAAGCAGGGCGAGGAGGGCCAAGGGGGTGAGCTGCCCAAGCGCACCCACAAGTCCTGGCTGTGTCTTTGTCATCGTTGGGTAACATGTTGCATTTTTAAGGGTACTTAAACCCAATAAGGAATAAACCCTATACCCTAAACCCTAAACCCTAAACCCCAAACCCTAAACCCTAAACCCTAAACCTAAATATTATCCCCACAATGAACTAGGTATCCTGAGCCGATCCGGCGCTATGACCACTACTGCAAGTGGCTCCAGAACGTCGTTGGCCTGCTGAACCACCGAGACTCGGTAGGCCGTATGGGGACATTTTTTCCCTTCTTTGGGGCCCTCAATGCGTAAGGGGGAAGATGTTTCCTTTGTCTGGGTTCAAGAGGATCATGTGTGTCAGGAATTCTTTCAGAGCCTAAACCCTAAACCCTACAACCTAAACCCTAAACCCTAAAACCTAAACCCTAAACCCTTAAACCCTAAACCTTTTGAAAGATATTTTATGGGCCATCCTAGGCGAGTTCTTCATGATGTTGATTGGCCTGACCCTCATTGCCGTGCTGGGGGTCATCATCGATCCGTGCCTCGCGGTCTTGGCCTATGAAGCTTGGCAGCCCAGTGGTACCCTTTACCCTTTTTTGGGTTCAAGCTTCCCTTATAAAGTAACCAACCCCAAAAAAGGGTTTAGGGTTTAGGGTTTAGGGTTTAGGGTTTAGGGTGATTGTAATATGGTTACTGGGCTACTAAGGAAAGGGCCGGGCTCCAGATCGACAGGGACGTCACCTTGGCGCTGCACTGGATTTATTCTGTGATCTTGCTCTACTTCGAAGCTTGCTGGCCCAGTGGTGCCTCTTTTTTCTTTTTCTCCTCTTCTGTTGGTTCAAGGTCCCCTTATACAGTAACCAGCCCGGAAAAGGGTAGCCTTACTCCCATCATGACTCTAGGCCCTAGATGCTAAACGCCAAACCCCAAACCCCAAACCCCAAACCCCAAACCCCAAACCCTAAACCCTAAACCCTTTTTTGGGTTGGTTACTGTAGAAGGGAACCTTGAACAAATTGGCGACTGGGTTGCCAAGGAAGGCACCATCTTCATGGTCCATGTTGGGCTCATCTCAAGGAACGAGACTGCCCAGGAGTGGAAGAACAACAAGCACTATGTGGCTTGGTAGCCCAGTGGTGCCCTTTTCCCTTTAGGGTTTAGGGTGTTTAGGGTTTAGGGTTTAGGGTTTAGGGTTTAGGGTTTAGGGTTTAGGGCTACCAAGGTGGTGCACAACACCTCCAAGGGGGACAATGTGCCCGCGGAGGACTAAAACCCTTGAAGCCTCTCCAGCCTCTTCAGGCGAAATCTCTGAACCTGACTGCCCAAACCCTACACAGGGTTTAGGGTTTAGGGTTTAGGGTTTAGGGTTTAGGGTTTAGGGTTTAGGGTTTAGGGTTTAGGGTCCCTAACCTGGAGGACTTGTCGGACTCGGACGAGTACAATGAGCACTTCGACAAGGGAGCCTTCATCTACTCGCCCGAGGCAAGGGTCCGGGCATAACCCTAAGCTCTACACCCTACACTCTAAACCCTCCCCCCGTCCCCGCATCTTCTCTCCTGAGGCGAACCCCATGGACAAAGGTTGCCCCACGAACCTGGGACATCCAGTAGGGTTTAGGGTTTAGGGTTGTTTCGGATTTAGGGTTTAGGGTTAGTACCATTTTTTTTTCTTTTCTGTGGCCGTTCAGTATCTGGTTGAAGCTTCCTTGCGGTTTGCCGATCGGTAGTGTACCATAAATCCTAAACCCTCAACCCTCAACCCTAAAACCCCAACCCTAAACCCTAAACCCTAAACCCTAAACCCTAAACCCTAAACCCTAAACCGTAAACCCCAAACCCCAAACCCTAAACCCTAAACCCGAAACCCTACCAAGGAACTGCTTCAACTTCTGGTGCCAGCCCCGATGGCCCGCCGGTGTGAAGGGCGACTTCTGAGCCGCGGGCCCTGGGCCTCTCTGAAGTGGACAAGGATGTCTTTTTGGCTACCCCAAGGGTTTAAGGTTTAAAGGGTAAAGGGTTTAAAGGGTTAAAGGTTTAGGGTTTAAGGTTTAAAGGGTTTAGGGGTTAAGTGGACAAGGATGTCGTTTTGGCTACTCCAGGGTTTAAGGCTTAAAGGGTTTAGGGTTTAAGGTTTAAAGGGTTCAGGGGTTAAGTGGACAAGGATGTTTTTTTTGGGCTACCCCAGGGTTTAAGTTTTTTTGGGTTTAGGGTTTAAAAGGGTTTAGGGTTTAAAGGGTTTAGTGTTTAGGGTTCCCCACTCCCCATGGGGTTTAGGGTTTAGGGCTTAGGCTTTGGGATTCTCTTCCCCTCTCTTTCCCCCTTAACATAAGACCCACTCTCACTCAGAGTAAGAGAGAGAGAGAGAGAGAGAGAGAGAGAGTCATAGGCTTCATGTTTTGGGTGGGCTGGGGTAGCCAGATGGTCCTTGTAGTCAACTTCCGCATGGACAACTCCGTGAAGTCTCCCCGAGAGCTGAAAGAAGCTGCAAGCGGCAATGTGTGCAGAAATTCGTGAAAGGACAATTCGCTGGACGCCAGACCCTGGGGAAAGTCCGACCCGATGCCACGAAACCCCCGCAGGAACTAAGATAGGCTTCAGGGTTTTCGTTTTTAGTGTTCGGGTTTCAGGTTTTGGGTTCATGGTTTTAGGGGGCTTTTAGAGGGTTTAGGGTTCTAGGCTTTGGATGCCTACTTTTTTTCCTAGCTGGCTGGCCCAACTTGGCCGACGCAGAAGTAGCCTGGCGATGCTGACTCCATCCAGGAAGCTCTCAACTGTATAAACGGTATATATATATATATATATATATATGAGGATGCCTAGATCCTAAAACACCCTCAAAACAAACGCTTCCACTGAAAAGCCCTGAAAAAACCCTCCCCTCCCCCTTCTCCCCGCAACCAAGGCCCCCTCCTGGAGCAGGACATCAAGAAAGAAGGCGGGCGCTCCGAGTGGGCACGGTAAACTAGAGTTTTTAGGGTTTAGGGTTTAGGGTTTAGGGTTTAGGGTTTACGGTATTTTGGGGTAACCCCCTGAGCCCCGTAAGTCCCTAAAAACCCTCAGGAGCTTGTGGTGGACGTTGCCTTTCCAAAGGCTTGAGGACATTTTTTCTTGAGGCTTACCCCAAAAACCCTAAACCCCAAAAACCCTAAACCCCAAAAACCCTAAACCCTAAAAACCCTAAACCCTAAACATGTGGCAGTCTTCCGAGGCTGTCAAGTCCGGTTTCAGTGTTAAATTGAACGCCTCTCAGCCCACACAGGGCCTAACCCCCCCCCCCCCCCCCCCCGCGGACCTGAACCCTGCAGCCCGAACTTGATCCCCTGTTGAAGGTTTAGAGTTTCGGATTACGCTTAGGGTTTAGGGTTTCGGGTTTAGGGTTTCGGGTTTAGGGTTTAGGGTTTCGGGTTTAGTGTTTAGGCCTTTAGGGTTTAGGGTTTCCTGAGGGTGTTGATCTCTGCTGAGGCCGGCCAGGCACCCCCGCGACGCCCAGGCCTTGCGCTGTTGACGGATGGCTGTAGAAAGGCCTGTGAAGACGAATGGCCTCGGAGTTTTTAGGGCTTAGATTTTGGGGTCTGGGGGGGGGGGGTTTAGTTGCAGGAACAAGGGCCTGAGTGGGTTTAGAGTTTACTGTTTTAAGGGTAAAAAAACCCTTAAAACAGTAAACTCTAAACCCTCTTTTCGGGTTTAGAGTTCAGGGTTCAGAGCTGGAATGGTACGCCTTCCTGTGGCAGGGGCCCACCCTGGGCTCCCAAACTCCCCCCCTCAACCCTGAAGCACCTTGGTCCCCTCCCAGCCCTAAACCGTAAACCCTAAACCCTAAACCCTAAACCCTAAACCCTAAACCCTAAACCCTAAACCCTAAGCCCTAAACCCGAAACCCTAAACCCTAAACCCTAAACCCTAAACCCTAAACCCTAAACCCTAAACCCTAAACCCTGCCCCTCCACCTCCTCCAAGCCACATAGCTGAAGTCGCAGGGCAGAGCACGAGCTCAGCCTTACGGAAGCTGTGGGGATCCTGGGGGAGTCTTTGCATAGGGTTTAGGGTTTAGGGTTTAGGGTTTAGGGTTTAGTGTTTAGGGTTTAGGGTTTAGGGTTTCGGGGCTTCGGGTGGGTTTCGGCCCGTCAGAGGAAGGCAGGGCGGAAGGTAGGAGGAGCAAAAAGTTTAAGGAACGAAGCATGTTGAAGGGTAGAGGGAAAGAATCGTTGTTCGGGAAGTTTAACTTGTTGGTCCTTTCTGGGGCACCCTTGTGATAATGCAAAGAGGCGTCTCACATGTCATGTGGCTCAAAATGGAACATCATCTAGAGCTCTGACTCCTCAGATACCCTAAACCCTAAACCCTAAATACTTGGTTTGTGGGGTGCCCTTACCCCATTGTAGCACGGGCCCCGTATGTAGGGCTTCAACTCTATGAATTACAGGGTTTAAGGTGTTCAGAAACGGGAACATCATCTAGAGATCTGTCCATGTGCAGGTGCAGCACATATCATGTGCTTTGTATGTTCCTTACCTACGTGGAACAATTTCAATACTATTCGCCCTGCACGTCCCTTGGTGTGGTGAGTCGATTGAAGTTGCGCATTTTCGGCTCGTTGTCTTGTGAGCGTTTGTTTTTGTGGTGATGTGGCCCACAGCTACGCACCGACGTGTGAAAAATGTTTGTGCAATCCCGGAATGTGCTCATCGTGCGATTCATGTCTTATGTCATATCGTAGCATTCCTACATGGGGGTTTACGATAAGAAGGGAACCCCAAAAATAGACCCCCAAATAGTAGGATCCCCCGCTACTAATAAGGATCCCAATAAGGCACCCCTAATATCGCAAACCCCCATATGTTGCAATCATTGTATTACTCCAGTATACCTATTACATAGATGCCCCGATGCACCCCCAAGAATCAAACCGCGGCCTCCTGAACCCTAAACCCTCGACCCTGAACCTGCAAAGCCCAGACTCCACATGGTGCTTTCCCAAAGTAGGGGTGTCCCTTGTAATACCCCAAGTAGTATAAGAATCCCCTCAAGGGGCCCCCGAAAAAGGGGTACCCCGATTTTCGGAAACCCCCACATCCCACCAAGGTTTTCAATCTTGCCAACACTGCTGCGAGCCCGGGTAGGGCTCAGGGGTTTATGCTTAGGGCTTAGGGTTTAGTAATTAGGGTTTCGGGCCGTTTACGGTAAGGTTTAGCGATGTTTAACAGGGGTGCTTTGAGAGAGAAATCGGAGAGGAGTTGTTTGCCTGAAGCTAGAAAGAGTAATATAGAGGTAGGGATAATGGCCAATATTACTCCCTTGGGGTCCTTTTGTAATTATACCATAATAATCCTCAAAAACCCTATTCTTCTTCAGGCCCCTACATGAATTGAAGGTCCTGAGTTTAGGTTTTAGGGTCTAGGGTTGAGCTTATGACCACGAAGTCAGGGAAACACACAGAAGTGGTTTGCTTTATCGTTCGTTTCCTGCTTGGTGCGCAAACCTTCTAATTCGTACAATGCTTATAGTCCTGATAGGCCTAACAAACCTGAATAAGCCACCGAACCCTTCCAACCCTGAGAAACCCTTCTCGCCCTTGAAGCCGGTAAGACCCTTGTGTTAGCCCTTGTGGCCCTTATAGCCCTAAACCCTAAACCCTAAACCCTAAACCCTACTAGCCCCCCTGGAAGAACCTGCAGCTCGAGCTGCTACCAACCCCATGGGCTTCATGTAGCCCTAAACCCTAAACCCTAAACCCTTAACCCTTAAACCCTAAACCCTAAACCCTAAATCCTAAACCCTAAACCCTAAGCCCAAGGGGGAATAGACGAAGTGCGGTCTGTAGGGGTTAAAGGGCTCGAGGGGTTCAGGGGGCTCAGCGTTTCTGGGGTTCAAGGCTTTGGGGGTCTAAAACCCCTCAACTTCTAGGGCTGTAGGGGTTTAGGGTTTAGGGTTCGGGTTTAGGGGGTTTTGAAACCCTAAACCCTAAACCCTAAACCCTAAACCCTAAACCCTAAACCCTAAACCCTAAACCCTAAACCCTAAACCCTAAACCCTAAACCCTAAACCTAAACCCCTAAACCCCCTACAGCCCCCCCCCCCCCCCAAGGTCCTGGGCGTCGGTGTGCTGAGCATCCCGCTGGTCTCCCCAGCTTCCAACTCGTGCTTGTGTGTGCTTTCTGGCTGGGCGGAAACGTAGGTATCATGTAGGCCCTAAACCCCAAACCCCAAACCCCAAACCCTAAACCCTAAACCCTAAACCCTAAACCCTAAACCCTAAACCCTAAACCCTAAACCCTAAACCCTGAACCCTGAACCCTAAACCCTAAACCCTAAACCCTAAACCCTAAAGGTTGGCCCGTGTAGTAGGATCTAGACGTTAAGGGCGCAGTGTATCTTTGCGAACACGCTGGCACATGCCTGATTCGAGGGTGAGACACAAGGAGGGACCTATAGGCAGGCGCCAAGTGCTTTCCCTTGTAAACCCTACTAGTACTTGGAGGTTCATGGGTAGGTATAATTAGAGTTATAAGGGAGGTAACCCTTAATTTGGGCACTGAAAACCCTACTTATAACTGCCCACGAACCTTCAAGTACAAGCCAAAGACAAGGCTTCCTTTCTTCCGAGGTTATCTCTGGGACATAGTAGGGCTCACAAGCCGGTTTCCGGTTTATGCAAGGGATAACGTAATTCTAGCTACGGTGAGTCCCCCAAAGCTTAAAGCCTAGGCCCTAAGAAAGCGCAAAGTTCACCCCGAACTCCTTGAAGACCAAAAAGCTGCAGATTACTCCGAAGCTCCGTGGGGGGAGGTATGCCTTTCGACTGAGCGGCTACGTGTCGATTCTGCATCCCTGGCTGGTTTTCCGTACTAAAGCCCTAAACCCTAAACCCTACTAGGAACCCTAATTTAACCTTAATTGGAACCCAAAGTTCCTTCTTTCCTCAGAATTTCCCACCAAGAAGCCAGAAGAAAACACTTGAGTGGTGCGAGTGTCTATTTTTCAGCTCAGTACCCTTCCCCAAACCCTAAGCCCTAAACCCTAGACCCTAGACCCTAAACCCTAAACCCTAAAACCCTAACCCTAAACCCTAAACCCTGTTTTGACCTTCTAGGTCGGGGCCTCGAAACCCTAAACTAGGGTGTCGGCGTGGGGACGCGCGCTCCAAGCCCTTGACTCTTGCCTGCGAACAGCCGAGGGCTCAGGGTCTTAGGCTTCACGGTAAACCTGAACTAAACCTTAAACCCTAAAGCCTAAACCCTAAACCCTAAACCCTAAATTAGAATTCGGGTCCTACCCTGCCTGTGCATTAGGGGCTTGCTGGGCTTGGGGCTTCTTGCAGATGAGGGAAGGTCAGGGCTTGTGAGTTGTGAGTGGCTCAAGGTTGCGGGCACGGGGTCCAGCGAAAGAAGTTGGACTGAGCCAAGAGCCAGAGAACCCTACCCCTACCCCCGACCCCCTACCCCCTACCTACCCCCAACACCCAACACCCAACACCCAACACCCAACACCCAACACCCAAAACCCTAAACCCTAAACCCTAAACCCTAAACCCAAAACCCTAAACCCTAAACCCTAAACCCTAAACCCTAAACCCTAAACCCTAAACCCTAAACCTTTCGTTGCCAGGCTGATTCTACTGACAATACTCGTCACCGCGCAGACGGGCGTCTTCATCGGTTCAGTGGATCCCTCAACCTTTCCGTGAGTTTAGGGTTTAGGGTTTAGGGTTTAGGGTTTAGGGTTTAGGGTTTAGGGTTTAGGGTTTAGGGTTTAGGGTTTCGGGTTCGTGGGTCGGCAAAACCCAAAAACCTCCAAAGACGTCTGCTGGCTTTGTGGGAAGGCAACTCGGGCAAAGGAGGGGACCCGCTGATATAGGAACCCCCCAAAAGGTACCCCCACAACCCTCGCATGCCCTCGTAATGTTATGACCATGAGTACGTTTAACCTTTGGGGCGGTCAACCTCCCTGTTTAGGGCTTAGGGGCCTGGGGTTTCTGTCGATGGGGCACCGAGATCTTCTCCTATGTATTGGGGTTTAGGGTTTAGGGTTTAGGGTTTAGGGTTTAGGGTTTAGGGTTGAGGGCATCTGATGGCGAGAACTCATAACCCTAAACCTTGAACCCTAAACCCGGAGCCCTAAGGCCCGAGACCCGATGCCCTCAGTCCGAAACCCCCTACGCCCGATGACCCGGAGTAGCACGCTAATCCAAGTTTCAAGGTTTAGGGTTCAGGGTTTGGGGTTCTGAGTCAGATCCCGCCAGCCCCAAGCCCTAAGCCCCAAGCCCTAAGCCCTAAGGCCTAAGGCCTAAGCCCTAAGCCCCTAAGCCTAAGCCCTAAGCCCTAAGCCCTAAGCCCTAAACCCTAAACCCCACCCCCCCCCCCCCCCCCCCCCCCCCAATGAACTCCTATACGTCCTCGAAAGTTGAGGCGCTGCAGCTGGCCAGCAGGAGCTGCATCTCCCGACTGCTCTGGGACCCCTTTAGGGTTTAGGGTTTAGGGTTTAGGGTTTCCTCATCTCCCGAGTTTCGAAGGGCTTTTGC